CCAAGGGTTGTTGTGGCCAAGTATGAAGACAATACACCAAGAAATAAAAAAGTTATGATCCAGGTACAAGTTTGCGGACGGCAACGGCAACGGCAACAGCAACGCCCATCCGACTATAACAATACCTCTACTTTAAAAAAAAAAAAAAAGTCGAGCTAAAAACAGGTCAATATTTGCGAATTGGCAAATAATTTGGATATTTTACTCAAAACTACCAGATTTTAAGCAAGAGGAGATGAAAAATGTTCTATGAATTAGTTTTTTGACAAATAATACAATATGTAAGACAATCTTAATCATTAACGTTTAATTTAGCACCCAAAACCCACTTTTTAAGACGAAAATTACCATTTTTAACGAGTGTTTTTGCAGTATATACAATAGTTTTCCGACGAACTCCGTGACAGTTATCACAAGTCATCCTTCGTGTAACAGTTCCTACCCCATGAAGCTGTAATATCGGGAATCGGGATCAGTGTTGAAATATCGGGATTTTTTTCGGCGTAGCTGTATTAAAATGGATTTTGACCTAGATTTGTAACAAATGAAATTGTTAGTTACAAAATCTTCAGCTAAAAGAGGGTGTTTTTCATTGGTGGAAAGACTGGCTGTTATGAAATTTAAGGACAAATTCGTAATCTTTAGTTTACTTGTCTCTAAGAATAAAGTTGTATTAAAAATATTTATACAATCGTAAACTAAATATCACAACGTTATGACCAAAACAAAGATATATCAAAATACAAAAATATACAGTACATATGATTTCATGCACAATTTATTTTGTTGATAATATTAACAACAAACCAGACTTTTTGTTTTTCAGCCTTTACTTAAACATTCGATTACTACTCACTCGTAGCTTTTCTGTTTTTCTATGAAAATGAACGATATTTTTTATCAACCAAAAGATTCTCCAGAGCTGATATGAATTGCGAAAATTAATATATTTAAAATGCAACATTATCATAAAGAATCGCAAAACTTTAAGTATTATTTTTTGTGCGTAATAATAACAAATTAATTTATTCATAGTTATTCGGCGTTTGTTTACACCGGTAGGTAAATTTACCGAAATACACCCCAATTGACTACCTCAATCTGAAACTGTCTCACTTGATAATCAGTGTCATTGATGGGTTATACAAAATTGAGTTTAGTACTTATTATAAGATAAATAGATATATTTCTGTATATATGGAACAACATTTATATTTTACATTCCACATTTAAAGTACATTGTAAAATATAACCTGTGTAGGTGTACGACACGTAGCCATGCCAGTAGGCTTAACTAGTACCTCCACCTCATACCCCTAGTATATACAAAATACTAGTCAAGCTGTGCTATTTTTAATAGAAATCCTTTTTTTATAAAATACATAATTATAACTTTTACTAGTAAGGTTATGTTTAAGTTTTGATTTAAGTCTTCAATTATTCATTTTCATTGCCAGATAGATAAGAAGGCATTATAAATAGTATAGTTCAGAGTTGATATGTTCCATTGATTGTTTATTATAGTTTGTATTCTTTCATAAATAAAAGATATAAACAACAAAAGATTTTGGTGTTATTATCATGACCTAATAATTGCAGCATTTTATGCACAGAAGTGCTTTTACAAAATGAAGGTCAGATACATATAAGTCAATATTATTTAACAATAAAATTCAAGTTGTCAGCTGATTGTGGCCTTTGCAGTCTCTAAATTTGGTAGTGTGGTTGGTTATTATCTGGTATTGACTTTGAAACCAGTAGTCAAAAGTCACGGTGACAAAAAAGCTTCTAGCATCTATAATAACATGACTAATTTGTTGACATTATAGGAGCATACATGTTTCAGCTAAGTTTAGACAACTGTCATAGATTATACTAGTAACCACCAAATATATTTCAATTTAGACATTTATATTGTTATAAAGTATAAATATCATTAATTTTGAAAATATTCTAAAGCTATGACACATTTTGCACTGAATTTACGCCGATTATCTTTTTTAAAGATATTTCTTTTTTAATCCCGCCTGGATATCACATGTATGGACCTGAAGTCATCAAAACAAACTTTCAGACCAATTTCCAGGATATTTGGATCCAAACAGTAGCCACTAGTGTTAACAAGATTTTTACTATTTTAGCTCCTGTGACCTAGTTTTTCATCCGAGATTACCCATGTTCGAACTCATCCGAGCAATTACCTAGACCATCATCTTGACCAAGTTTGATGACAATTGAGTAAACAATAGCTGTCACAGGAGACAGCGAAGCTCGACTAATAAAATGTTGGACGCAGTAATGAAGACAAAACTACGAAAAAAAATCAATTATGTATATTCATGTATTAAGTTATAGTAAAAAAATAACATTTGTTAAAATAAATTCCAAGTTCAAGGGGGAATAATGTTGAAAATAGTCACGCTAGAGTTATGAACCTTGTCATACAACGTGTATAATGATAAAAATATATATTTGAAGAAGTTAAAATATTTCATAAAGAAAATCCTAATTTCAAAGAGATAAATCTGAAAATATTGCTTCAAGAGTTATGTACTTTGTCAGATAAGATGTAATTGATGATAAGGAATAAGTATTTGAAGTTTGACCTTTAAAACTAAAGAAGTTATAGTAAAAAATAACATTTTTCAAGTAAAAAATGTAAGTTTATGGGGAGATAATTCTTGCAATATTGTTGCTAGATTTATGAACCTTGTCACGTAACATGTGGTTGATGATACGGAACATATATTTGAAGTATTAAGTTGATCCTCTAAGAAGTAACAGTAAACAAGATTGCATTTGAGAAAATGCTATGCCACCGCATTAATACAAAACTAAATAGTAGTGTAGGAACAGATTTTTTTTGTTCTATACAATTGAAGATTGTCATAATGCATAGATCCCTGACCTATCTAATTCTTATTATCAGATTAGTGGTTAAATCTATTGTTAACTCAATAAAAGATCAGAGTAGGAATATATCAATGCACTTGAGTCTAGTGAATTTGGTGGTGAAGGTCCTATTTCACACAGCCTAAATTTCATGACTGCATCAAAGGACAACACAGTAAGACACTTTGTCAAAACTAGGTCAGCTGATATCAAAGTTCATTTTAATTTTGACACTAGAGGCAAAATTTGAACAACTTTGGCAGAGTACCTATAGATGATATCATTTAACAAATATTAAAGCTCTAAGGATCATATATTTGAAGTTGATACCTTAAGAATGAAAAAGTTATAGTGAACAAGAGCTGTCACCAGTCACCAAAAGGTTTCTTAAGCATGCAGGTATTATGAAAAGAAGAGAATGAAAGTAACTTGCTCTTTGTATATTGTACCTGTAATCTCTAATTGTGCTAGCATGAACCTTCAAGATATAAGTGTGACCTTGATCTCTGAAGAAGGGACGTGGTTCCTGGATGCGACAAAATGTTGTTATGAGATAGACATTTGTGCCAAATTATTTCAAAATCCCTCAATGCATGACAAAGTTACAGTCTGGACATGATTGTTGTGTAAGTGGGGACATACAGACATGAGCCTTAGCCGAATATGAGCCATAGCCGCAACACATTGTCTTGAAGTGGTAGACAATTGTGCCAAGTTATTTTAAAATCCTTCCATGCATGACAAAGTTAGGTCGGACATGAATGTGTATCTTCAAACTGTTCTCAAGAGAGAGAGTACCTTCAAACTATAAGTGTGACCTTGACCTTGAAGGTAGGGACATGGGTCTTTGTCGCGACATGTCTTTTTGATGTGGTAGGTATTTATGCCTATTTATTTTAAAATCCTTCGATGCATGACAAAGTTACAACTCGGACCCGAATGTGTGTACCTATAAACTCTAATTGTGAAAAAGTGAACTTCAAAATGGTAGTGACCATGACCTTTGAGGTAGGGACTTGATTATTGAACACAACATATCTTATTGATGTTGTAGACATTTTTGCCAAGTTATTTTAAAATCCTTCCATGCATGACAAAGTTATAGCCCGGACACGATTGTGTGTACCTATAAATTCTAATTGTGATAATGTGAAACTTCAAAATGTTAGTGTGACCTTGACCTTAGAGGTAGAGACGTAATTCTTGGACGGGACACATCGTCTTGATGTGGTAGACATTTATGCATAGTTATTTTAAAATCATTCGATGCATGACAAAGTTATATTATAATCTCTCAATGAATGACAATGTTACAGTCCGGACACGAATGAAGTGGGACAGACAGACGGTGCCATTATATAAAAATATTTTACTGCACCAAAACTTAAATCGGAAATCTGGACGCGGACACCGGGCGAGTAGAACAGCTCTCCATATACTTTGTCTAGTCGAGCTAAAAATGTGACCACTAGTGTTAACAAGGTCCTTCTAATTTTAGCTCCAGTGACCTAGTTTTCATCCGAGATAACCCATGTTTTGAACTCATCCGAACAATTACCTAGACAAGCATCCTGACCATGTTTGATGATGATTGAGTCAAAAATGTGACCGCTAGAGTGTTAACAAGATTTTTTCTATATTTAGCTCGTGACCTAGTTTATCATCCGAGATGACCCATGTTCGAACTCATCAGAGCTATTACCTAGATAAGCATCCTGACAAAGTTTGATGATGATTGGGGCAAAAATGTGACCGCTAGAGTGTGGCGACAGGTGAGCTAAAAAAAAGACCAACTTTACTTTACCTGTAATAGGGAACGAAACTTCACCAACCTAGTTTTCTAATTTTTTTTATTAGACATATTCAGTAAGATTTTCATAGATTTCAATAAATTTCTGTGATTAAAATTTTACTCAAGGATGAGCATAGTATATCTTTTAGTGCCTGAAAGGGCAGACAGACCCTCATTAAACCTAGAATACATACATACAAAGCTTTACAATCCCCTTGAATCAGTCAATACAGTTTAAATTCAGGTTTGTTCAGACTGACTACAATTACCAGAGAGCAACAGACATTCAGGACAATAAATAACAAGTAAAAAGAAGTTAACTCTACTGGTTTATTATACATAAGATATATCTAAGATAGAATGAAAACAATCTACAGTGATTTATGTACACATATCTTAGTAAATGTATGCATGCTTCTAGTACATGATTATGACATATTAAAATGTGATCAGAATTTTGCTTTAATGAATTATTATCTTAAAATGGTTCATAATATTTAATGTAAGTTATCATAAATCTCATGTACTCCTCCGCAGTTTCCAAGTCATGGTTGGAAAAATATTCCAATGTGAGCCTGTTATCAAGCTTTTATACATGATGATATTTCTATTGTTTAAGATACTTTTATATGGGTAGATAACATCCAAACTTTTAACCAAATATTGCTTATTTCTGTAGTTGTACAAATACCTATGCATGTTTTGTGATATTTCAATTTTGATAAAAAATGCCTCACAAAATATATTCATTAAAAAGTAATTCCCGTTTAAACATCATAGAATATTAATTCTTACTACAGTTGTTCATACAATCTATACATATTTAAAATAGAAATATCTTGCAAAAAGAATCTCATCTCATTTCAATGTAAATGCAATGCATAAACAATGTATTATACCATAGAGTATTCCTAAACCTGTAACAATTACCCAATATGCCTCTTAGTGACAAAATAAATATAAAAAAACACTATCATACTGTGCAATACATGGATATCAACAAAAGCTGGCCTGTTCCCACTATATCAACACAAAGCCCCTAGAAAATCTGTAAAAAAACTTGCTTTGTGTAAGATTTCATTTGCATAAAGCTTTGACAAATCTTTTTTTAAACAAATATATCATTCTTAAAACAGTACCAGTAAACATTTGATCTGCTCATTAGGAAAATAAATAATGTATATGTACAAAATGACAAATGATGATGAACATCAAAATTTTAGGTAAAACAACAATCACCAATATTGAATAAGTAACAAATACATTATTGCCATATATGCCCATTCTCTTTTTAACACTATACAACTAATAAAATTCTATGAAACAGACAAAATGCATTAAATCTGACATAACTTACTTAATTTTATAAAGTCAATGATTGACACAATAATGTCATGTATGATTAATATTTATCAAATTGTTTTTATTAACAATTACCATTTTTTAATGATCATTTGTCTCTTTCCATCAGGTTTAACATCATCCTAACTCATTCAAGGTCACATTTCCCAGTGGAGGACTGGTGCACTTCCGTGCACTATCTCAGGTACAAGTAAAATCAACAAACTTCAGTAAACTAACAGCATAGCTTCCTCATGTCCATAGCAAGATTTGAGTCTGCAGTTTGTGACAGGCATGTAATTGAAAGTCAATGATTTTAATAGCCTGGAGGTGTCAGCACTTGATAAGCATACAACCTGAATCCTATTAGGGTCTTTTGCGACAATGTTATCCAGCTAGCTTATAGAAGGTTGGTATTGCTACTCATGTGCCCCCGTGCACTTCAGGTCTTCCTTAAACAGTAAAACTTGATGGTTTCCATGACCTATGACTTAAACCTTACAAAAAACTTATGAACAAAAAGAAAATTTCTCCTTTGAAACATAGATTGGTTTAAAAAAATACTCTTAAAAATATGTAAGTACACAATTTTGATAATCGCTTTAATACATTGCATTTGGGAAATAAAGAAAAACGATGTGTTAAATACACTTTAGTCAGCAGGTTTTCATCTACAGATTTATATAAAAGTTCAGACATTTATTCTTAATTGTAGCAATTTATGTATTCAGTTCTTTGAACAAAAACAGTTCATCATATCAACTTGCACAATATTAGCTATTCCTATGTAGAATGTAAGAATTTATCCTTCAGGGCTTTAAGTCTTTGAACAAAGAATGTTTCTAAAACCTCGGCACACTGGAAGAATGGTGTATCTGGAGGATTATATAAACGGCAATTGTTGAAGACTTTTGTTACATCCTTGATAAAGTCTGTCAGTCTTCTATACTGGTGTGCATCCATGTTTGCTTCTACTTGCGACAGGTCTGTAAACAAAAATTGTCATGACAGAGCAATTTATTTTACTACTATATTTTAACAAGATATGTTTGTAAAACATGTCTTGTTAAAATTATCGGCAGCCAATTAGTCATGTGATCGGGTTGTTATGACTGACTTTTGACCTAGTGACCAAAAAATCAATAAGGGTTAATTACTGGTCATGATTAGTCACTAGGTAATTGTGACCGCAAAGGTTGTGTGCAGCAATTTTATGACAAAGTTATTTCAAATCTTACCAAATAATATATATGCATAAATTTTATGAATCAAGTAGGCCTCATTAATGACAGCCAAGTTGTTATATTAAAATGTGTATACCAAAAGGATTTTTAGTTTAACAAGAACGTGTTTGTTAAACACAAATGCCCCCGGCTCAGATTCTTGTCAGTAGCAATATTTCAAAAAATGTTTACCCATTCACTCAGTTAAGGACAGAAAAATTGCCAAAAAATTGTAAACACAAGTTATATAGCTTGACAAAGTCATGGCATTTTGTAATTGTGAAAAATATAAGTTGCCAAGTCATTGCTCTGACTTGTGAAAATGAAAAATATTCAACTTCATGCAAGTTATCTTCCTACCAAATATGAAATACATCTGTCATTAAATAAAGGATGTATGGGCAAAAGTGTAAAAATCTATTTTGAGCACTGGTGACCTTGACCAAACAGACCCCTAACTCTATCCAAAAGAAGAATATCATGATTGTAAGTTATCTTCCTATCAAATATGAAATACATCTGTCAATAAATAAAGGCTGCATGGGCAAAAGTGTAAAAATCTATTTTGAGCACTGGTGACCTTGACCCAACTGACCCCTTACTCCATCCAAAGGAAGAATACCATGCAAGTTATCTTCCTACCAAATATGAAATACATCTGTCAATAAATAAAAGCTGTATAGGCAAAAGTGTAAAAATCTATTTTTAGCACAAGTGACCTAGACCCACTGATCCCTACCCCAATCAAAAGGATGAATACCATGCAAGTTATCTTCCTACCAAATATAAAATATATCTGTCACACTAATAAAGGCTGTATGAGCAAATGTGTAAAAATCTTTTTTTAGCACAGGTGACCTTGACCCAACTGACCACTAACTCCATCAAAGTTTATGTTTCTATCAATTATAAATAACATCTGTCTATAGAATAAGGTCAATACACCTGTAAAAATGTAAAAATCTATTTTTAACATTGGTGACCTTGACATTGGTAACATTGACCTTGACCCAAATGACCCCTTACTACACCCAAAGAAGGAGGACCTCCCTTGGCATGTTTGTATTAAACTAAGACATCAACTAAAAAATAAAGGCTGTATGAGCAAAAATGTTTATATTTATTTTTTAAATCAGTGACCTTGACCCTAGAGACCGCTTACTCCACAAAAAATTAGAGGACCATCAAAGGTATCCACCTACTAAATATGAAAAATATCATTAAAGAAATTAAGCAATTAGGAGAAATTTAAGATAAATCCAACTTGCCGAAATAGGTTAACCAGACAAGGCCTTATTTTCAAAGTGAAAAAAGGGAAATAACTGGGAAACATGGATGACACAGTTATATAACTTGGCAATATCATGTACTTTGTATTGATAAGTAAGTGTGGAAATTATAAAGCCATTAGTATAGATAGAACTTAAGATATTTCCAACTTGCCGTTTTAGGTTAACCATTATTCATTTTCTAAGTGCTGAAAAGGGCAATAACTTGGTAAATATGAAAGCCATAGTTATGTAACTTGCCCAGATTATGTACTTTGTATTGATTAGTAAGTGTGTAAACTTAGAAGCCATCGGTACAGATAGAACTTAAGAAAAATCCAACTTGCCGTTCTAGGTTAACCTTGTACGGACAGACGGACAAGTTCAATTACTATATGCCAAGGGGCATAATAAAAAAAATATCAACCAATGCAACTTGAGTTGTTGAGTTATTGATCAGAAAGTCTTTACATACAAGGTCAATATGACATTGACCTTTGACCCTTAAATCAATAGGGGTTATCTACTGGCCAAGACCAATACACCTGTGAAGTTTGAAGGTAAAGGACCCATGAGTTGGGATATTGATCAGAAAGCGTTGTTACCTATATGGTCAATGTGATCTTGACCTCTGACCCCTTAACACCAAAAAATCCATTGAGGTCATCTTCTAACCAAAAGCAATGCATCTGTAAAGCTTGAAGGTCAAGGGTCCATGGGTTGTCCAGTTATTGATAGAAAACCATTTTGAAATACAAGGTCAATGAAACCTTGACCCTATGTTCCCCTGACCCCAACATCATTGTCATCTACTGGCCAAGACCAATGCACCTACAAATTTGAGGGCCAACAGCCCATAGCTTGTCAAGTTATTGATCGGAAACCGTTTTTACCTACAAGATTAATGCAACCTTAATCTTTGACCCCTTGACCCCAAAATCATTAGAGGTTGTCAAGTAATTGATCGGAAACCGTTTTTACCTACAAGGTCAATGTGACCTCGCCTTGTGAACAATATAGTTTAGGAGAAATGGCCAGGACAAAAATGAAATATGAAAACTAACAAAGGGCAATAACTAAAAAAACTAGAACTATCACTAAATGTGATTAATACCCGGAAATGAGGAAGTTACTAGTAACAGAATATCTTGTAAAAGAATTGAAATATAGAGTTATGGTTGTGGGCAATTCAAGATAGTTATGGTTTTTGTATGATGCATTTCCTTACAATATGGTTGACCACTGATGAAGTTTTATTGAATTGCTCTGTACTAAATCCAGAAAGAGTTACGCTTCTTGAGCACTGCACTTCCTCTCATTGCGCTTGACCATTGTATGAAGTTGCATTGAATTCTAAACATTAGTTTTAAGTTATACACTGGACAAAGAAAAGTAACAAAGGGCAATAACTCTACAAATACTGAAGATGGAGTTATGGTTATTGTACAATGCACTTTCTCTCATTCGCTTGACCATTGTATGAAGTTGTATTGAATTCCAAATACTAGTATTCAAATTTTCAACTTGACAAAAAAGTAACAAAGGGCAATAACTAAAATTAGTGAAAATAGAGTTATGCTTCTTCTGCACTGCACTTCATCTCACTGCCCTTGACCATTTCATGAAGTTTCATTGAATTCCAAACATTAATTTTCAAGTTATGCACTGGACATTCAAAAGTAACAAGAAACATGGCAATGCCATGAAACCAGGTTTTCAATTATTACCATTGTAGATAAATATGTTGTATTTGAAATACAAATACCAGCAACAAACAATGTAACTATGTGCAATGTAAAACATGAATAATGTAGGAGGAATTGCTACTGAAGAAGTGTTCACTATATATTCTGTATAAGGAAAAAAAACAAAGGGCCATAATTAGGTAAAAAATTATCCAATCACAAAACCCCGGGCACTTGATGACAAAGCTTCTGTGAAAGTTTGAACAAAATACGTTGAGAAATGTAGGATGAGTTCAGCACAGAAGAATGTGTACACTATATATTGATAATTTTGTATAAGGAAAAAAAACAAAGCGCCATAATTGGTCAAATATTTATCCAATCACAAAACCCCAACAATATGCGCCAGGGCACTTGAAAACAAGCTTCTGTGAAAGTTTGGTCAAAATCCGTTGAGAAATGTAGGAGAAGTTGCGCACGATAGAAAATTGTTCACTATATATTCTGTATATGGAAAAAAACAAAGGGCCATAATTAGGTCAAATATTATCCAATCACACAAAACCCTGACAACATGCAACCAGGGCACTTGATGACAAAGTTTCTGTGAAAGTTTGGTCAAAATCAGTTGAGAAATGTAGAGGGAGTTCAGCACAGAAGAAAATGTTCACTATATTATATAAGGAAAAAAAACAAAGGGCCATAATTAGGTCAAATATTATCCAATCGCAAAAACCCCCGACAATATGCGCCAGGGCACTTGATGACAAAGGTTCTGTGAAAGTTTGGTCAAAATAAGTGGAGAAATGTAGGAGGAGTTGCGCACAGAAGAAATTGTTCACTAATAATTTCTTTATAAGGAAAAAAAACAAAGGGCCATAATTAGGTCAAATATTATTCAATCGCAAAACCCCGACAAATGCCCCAGGGCACTTGATGAAAAAGCTTCTTTGAAAGTATTTGGTCAGAATCCGTTGATCAGAAATGTTTAGGAGGAGTTGCGCACAGAAGAATGTGTACACTATATAATTGATAATTCTGTATAAGGAAAAAAAACAAAGTGCCATAATTAGGTCAAATATTATCCAATCACAAAAACCCCAACAATATGCGCCAGGGCACTTGATAACAAAGCTTCTGTGAAAGTTTGGTCAAAATCCGTTGAGAAATGTAGGAGAAGTTGCGCACGATAGAAATTGTTCACTATATATTCTGTATATGGAAAAAAAAACAAGGGCCATAATTAGGTCAAATATTAACCAATCACAAAACCCTGACAACATGCACCAGGGCACTTGATGACAAAGTTTTCTGTGAAAGTTTGGTCAAAATCAGTTGAGAAATGTAGAGGGAGTTCAGCACAGAAGAAAATGTTCACTATATATTCTATATAAGGAAAAAAAAACAAAGGGCCATAATTAGGTCAAATATTATCCAATCCAAAACCCCCCGACAATATGCGCCAGGGCACTTGATGACAAAGGTTCTGTGAAAGTTTGGTCAAAAATCCGTGGAGAAAAGTAGGAAGAGTTGGGCACAGAAGAAATTGTTCAACTATATATTCTTTATAAGGAAAAAAAACAAAGGGCCATAATTAGGTCAAATATTATTCAATCGCAAAACCCCGACAATATGCCCCAGGGCACTTGATGACAAAGCTTCTTTGAAAGTTTGGTCAGAATCCGTTGAGAAATGTAGGAGGAGTTGCGCACAGAAGAAATTTTCACTATATATTCTATATATAAGAAAAAAAACAAAGGGGCCATAGTTAGGTCAAATATTATCCAATCGAAAAACCCTGACAATATGC